GGGGCAGTATCTGGCAGTGTAACCCCCATCCCCCCACATACCCGGAGGGGCAGTGTTTGGCAGCCGTTCACTCTGAGCCGTGGCTGGCGGATGCCACAGAGAAAATTCAACCTGTCTCTTGTTTCTCTGTGCTGTCAACCTTGGTTTATACATACAGATCTAATGCAGCACAGATATGCAGATAATATGGATGAGTGGATGAGCAAGAAAGAGAGCAAGAGGAGGAAGGCAAGAATGAAAATGGAGAATGGGTATGCAGGAGATGGAAGAGAGAGGAGAGGAGAGGAGAGGAGAGGAGAGGAGAGGAGAGAGGGTAGTAGTTGGGAGAGAGGATGAGATATTGATTGGCAGTAGCTTCAGATATCCGGAGCAGTGAGAGTAGAGTATGAGTATATCATGTCGCGATCAGCTGAGCGCTTTTTAGAGATGGATTCGACAGTAGGTGCGACAGAGATTCTACACTAAGTGCTGGGTCTTTCATAGTGGCACAAAACAAAAGGAGAAGACAACATCTAAACTAAGTGCTGGGTCTTTCATAGGAGGCAAACATACTGTAGTACCCTACCATCTACCCCGCCTCCTCTCCTCTCCTCTCTCCTCTCCTCTCCTCTCCTCTCCTCTCCTCTCCTCTCCTCTCCTCTCCTCTCCTCTCCTCTCCTCTCCTCTCCTCTCCTCTCCTCTCCTCTCCTCTCCTCTCCTCGGTACTAGACTATATATCCATCCACTCTCCTCTCCTCTCTTCTCCTCTCCTTTCTCCAGACAGATAGAATCAGGGCAGGAAGATGGAGCACCATGTGATTCCGTCACTGCACGTTTATGTATTCTCTATTTAAATCGGAGCTCACCACACTGTAAATGGCTGACGTCCCTTTCCTCTTCATATAGGTGCGCATATTCCCTTACCTGATTGGCCGGGAGTCTGCCTTTGCTGATAACATGAAATGGATGGCCTGTGCTAATAAAGGTTTGTCTTTTCTTAAAAACTGTATAATGACCACATACACTATGTACCAAATACACCTCACACCACATGTATACTATTACTGTGACGGGATGTTGGCTGTGTGTGAATGTGTGGGTGTGAGTGTGTGTTGGGTAGATTGGCTGTGTGTGAATGTGTGGGCATGAGTGTGTGTTGGGTAGATTGGCTGTGTGTGAATGTGTGCAGAGTGGAGTGTCAGTGGAGTGACACAGGGGTCAGGGGCCATCCCTGCCTAATCCCTCTTCCTGTCAGAGCCTTTCCCCCTGGCCACCTGCCGCTGATGGCTCCCGTGCGCCCACGTTCCGGATGAGAGGAGAACGCTCTGGACTGGGAAAGTCACAGTCAGGAAAAGTGATCACTGTGGGATTACACAGCCCAGCTAGTCTATCCTTATTCTAACACTCACAGTAACACACATTTACTGGGAAATACCCCTAGTGTGATACAGTGTGTGTGTGTCTGTGTGTATGTGTGCGTGTGTCTGTGTGTATGTGTGTCTGTGTGTGTGTATATGTGTGTGTGTCTGTGTGTGTGTGTATGTGTGTGTGTGTCTGTATCTGTGTCTGTGTGTGTGTGCGTGCGTGTTTGTGTGTGTTGCCACAGGGTATTTCAGTCAGATCTCCACACTGGCTGATGTACAGGAGAATGTGATGAGGTATCTTCATGTTATGAGTCGTCCTAAAGTCATCGACCACGAACATGACACGGTCTGGACAGAGGCCTACATGGACAGCACTGTGAGTATTATAGTGAGTAGAAAAAGGCGAGGGAGTGTGTGTGTACTATATGTATGTGCAAGCGTGTGTGTGTGCATTTGCGTGTGTGTCCGTGTGTGTGTGTCCTCTCTGATCAGTCCCCTTCATGCTACAAGAGTGATTCCACATTATGAGCTTCATTCATTTGACTGGATTTTCCAGTTTGACTTGTTCTGCTCTTCTGTGTGCAGAATGGTTAATATGCTGTCTGTCTGGCTGACTGTCTGTTTGAGTGTCTGTCTGTCTGTCTGTCTGTCTGTCTGTCTGTCTGTCTGACTGTGTCTGAGTGTCTGTCTTTCTGACTGTTTGTCTGTCTGACTTACTGACTGTCTGTCTGACTGAGTGAGTGAGCGTCTGTCTGTCTGTCTGTCTGTCTGTCTGTCTGTCTGTCTGTCTGTCAAGCCTCATATGTCATTTTTCTGTCTCCTTCTGCAGCTCTCCCAGGCACACAAGGTAAATCCTCTCTCTCTCTCTCTCTCTCTCTCTCTCTCTCTCTCTCTCTCTCTCTCTCTCTCTCTCTCTCTCTCTCTCTCTCTCTCTCTCTCTCTCTTTCTCTCTCTCTCACATTGTCATAAAAATCAGTCTCTCTGACTAGAACTGCTTGAAACTCATTTCCTTGCCATTTTTCCATTCTGGTGTATTATATGGATACATCATCTGAGGAGTTATATAGTTGCCATATATGTTTCTGTAATGTGGTTGCTGAGTCTGCTGCTGAGAGCTGAGACTGCTGTTAGTTGTAAAGGTCTGCTTCTACTTAGTATGGGGATTGTCCAGGACTGCATGTGTATTGTGTAAGTACACGTGCACACACACACACACACACACACACACACACACACACACATTAACTCACAAACACAAACACACACACACACATGCGCACTTGTGCAAGAACTAGCTCAAACATACAAACACACACATAGTGGTGACAGAGGTGAGGGTTGGGTTGGTAGGGGGATTGTCCTCTGGAGTGTGTTCTGCTGTATCTCAGCCACAGAGACACACCATTCATCATTCTGTGGATCATTGCCTTTTATCTCCTAAAGCCCGTAATAAAACTGACATTGGAGCGGAGAGAGGCAGAGAAAGAAGGAGAGGGGACAGGGGGACGGGGGGGAGGACAGGCGGGGATATCACAAGGTCGTTTCCCAGAAAACTCTTGTGTCTAGCGTCTGCTGACTGTTGCAGGATATTCCCAGTGTGTCTGTACTGAACACTTCTATTCCCAGTGTGTCTGTACTGCACACTTCTATTCCCAGTGTGTCTGTACTGAACCCTTCTATTCCCAGTGTGTCTGTACTGAACCCTTCTATTCCCAGTGTGTCTGTACTGAACACTTCTATTCCCAGTGTGTCTGTACTGAACACTTCTATTCCCAGTGTGTCTGTACTGAACACTTCTATTCCCAGTGTGTCTGTACTGAACACTTCTATTCCCAGTGTCTGTACTGAACACTTCTATTCCCAATGTGTCTGTACTGAACACTTCTATTCCCAGTGTGTCTGTACTGAACACTTCTATTCCCAGTGTGTCTGTACTAAGCCCTTCTCTTCCCAGTGTGTCTGTCCTCAACTCTTCTATTCCCAGTGTGTCTGTACTAAGCCCTTCTCTTCCCAGTGTGTCTGTCCTCAACTCTTCTATTCCCAGTGTGTCTGTACTAAGCCCTTCTCTTCCCAGTTTGTCTGTACTAAGCCCTTCTCTTCCCAGTGTGTCTGTACTAAGCCCTTCTCTTCCCAGTGTGTCTGTACTAAGCCCTTACATTTTATTTACATTTTAGTCATTTAGCAGACGCTCTTATCCAGAGCGATTTACAGGAGCAATTAGGGTTAAGGGCCTTGCTTAAGGGCACATCGACAGATTTTTCACCTAGTCGGCTCGGGGATTAGAACCAGCGACCTTTCGGTTACTGGCACAACGCTCTTACCCACTAAGCTACCTGCCTGTACTCATCTCTTCTATTCCCAGTGTGTCTGTACTAAGCCCTTCTCTTCCCAGTTTGTCTGTACTAAGCCCTTCTCTTCCCAGTGTGTCTGTCCTCAACTCTTCTATTCCCAGTGTGTCTGTACTAAGCCCTTCTCTTCCCAGTTTGTCTGTCCTCAACTCTTCTATTCCCAGTGTGTCTGTACTAAGCCCTTCTCTTCCCAGTGTGTCTGTACTAAGCCCTTCTCTTCCCAGTGTGTCTGTCCTGCACACTTCTATTCCCAGTGTGTCTGTACTGAACCCTTCTATTCCCAGTGTGTCTGTACTGAACCCTTCTATTCCCAGTGTGTCTGTACTGAACACTTCTATTCCCAGTGTGTCTGTACTGAACACTTCTATTCCCAGTGTGTCTGTACTGAACACATCTATTCCCAGTGTGTCTGTACTGAACACTTCTATTCCCAGTGTCTGTACTGAACACTTCTATTCCCAATGTGTCTGTACTGAACACTTCTATTCCCAGTGTGTCTGTACTGAACACTTCTATTCCCAGTGTGTCTGTACTGAACCCTTCTTTTCCCAGTGTGTCTGTGCTAAACCCTTCTATTCCCAGTGTGTCTGTACTAAGCCCTTCTCTTCCCAGTGTGTCTGTCCTCAACTCTTCTATTCCCAGTGTGTCTGTACTAAGCCCTTCTCTTCCCAGTGTGTCTGTCCTCAACTCTTCTATTCCCAGTGTGTCTGTACTAAGCCCTTCTCTTCCCAGTTTGTCTGTACTAAGCCCTTCTCTTCCCAGTGTGTCTGTACTAAGCCCTTCTCTTCCCAGTGTGTCTGTACTAAGCCCTTCTCTTCCCAGTGTGTCTGTACTAAGCCCTTCTCTTCCCAGTGTGTCTGTACTAAGCCCTTCTCTTCCCAGTGTGTCTGTCCTCAACTCTTCTATTCCCAGTGTGTCTGTACTAAGCCCTTCTCTTCCCAGTTTGTCTGTACTAAGCCCTTCTCTTCCCAGTGTGTCTGTCCTCAACTCTTCTATTCCCAGTGTGTCTGTACTAAGCCCTTCTCTTCCCAGTTTGTCTGTCCTCAACTCTTCTATTCCCAGTGTGTCTGTACTAAGCCCTTCTCTTCCCAGTGTGTCTGTACTAAGCCCTTCTCTTCCCAGTGTGTCTGTCCTCAACTCTTCTATTCCCAGTGTGTCTGTACTAAACCCTTCTCTTCCCAGTGTGTCTGTACTAAACCATTCTATTCCCAGTGTTTCTGTAGTAAGCTCTTCTGATGGGAAGGGGCTTGGGGTCTACCAGGGTCTACCTGCACAGGTAATACTGGGCTGGAGGGGCTGCTGCTCTGGAATGAAGAGGGTGGTCGATGGTGAAACCCTCCATCAACCATTTTGTTGAGTCAGCAAAGAAACATACTGCCACCTTAGTACCCTAGTAACCTAGTACCATACAGAGACTACCTTAATACCCTAGTGCCTTAGTACCCTAGTACCATACAGAGACTACCTTAGTACCCTAGTGCCTTAGTACCTTAGTACCCTAGTACCTTAGTACCCTCATACTTTAGTACCCTAGTACCATACAGAGACTACCTTAATACCCTAGCACCCTAATACCATGCAGAGACTACCTTAATACCCTAGTACCCTAGTACCATGCAGAGACTACCTTAATACCCTAGTGCCTTAGTACCCTAGTACCATACAGAGACTACCTTAGTACCCTAGTGCCTTAGTACCATAGTACCATACAGAGACCACCTTAGTACCCTAGTACCATACAGAGACTACCTTAGTACCCTAGTGCCTTAGTACCTTAGTACCCTAGTACCTTAGTACCCTCATACTTTAGTACCCTAGTACCATACAGAGACTACCTTAATACCCTAGCACCCTAATACCATGCAGAGACTACCTTAATACCCTAGTACCCTAGTACCATGCAGAGACTACCTTAGTACCCTAGTACCTTAGTAGCCTGGTACCCTAGTACCTTAGTGCACTAATACCCTAGTACCTTAGTACCCTAGTACCCTAGTACCTTAGTACCCTAGTAATCTAGTACCCTAGTACCCTACACAGTTCACTGCCTCTCTCCAACACATGTACAGTACATGGACACACTCTTTTTTGCAATACATATTCTATCCTGCAAATAGCCACATACATGTACACAGTACACACACACACACACACACACACACACACACACACACACACACACACACACACACACACACACAAACACACACTCACCCTCTTTTATGCAAACACACACACTCTCCCACACACAAATAGCCACACAATCACACACAGTACACACAGTCACAGCTGTGTCCATGAGCCTGTGAGGTGAGGGAATAGCAGACCTAGTTTTAGCGAGTTCATGTGTTTAATCAAGTCAGTTCTCATTCTGCTGAGCATAGCCCCGATCTCAGCCAAACAGGAAACACACACTGGGGATCACTCTAAACCGGAGCTTCACTATAAATGTACTATAAAGCCACAAACCACGAGCAACATTAACCATAGTTTTATACTCCAGACTGCAGGGCTGCCAACTTTTGAAGAAAACTTGGAGTGAGATTTGCTATGATAATTTCATTGCTCCCTGGGACAACCCCTAGATGGGGGGGGGGGGGTCATAAAATGTTACTGTTTTAAAGCTAATTTCCTGCAATTCTATGTATTTTGACATGGCTTTAGTTAGGCCTATGACCAGGGTAGACATTTTTTTTAAATGTACACCACAGGTCAAGTGTATTCAGGATGCTTTGAACATTAAATGAACACTCAAAATTTGATGACTTTGTTACTTTGAGATTTTTTATGTGGTTTGACACTTTATTCAGACAGTAATGAAATGAGATGGGGAGACACAAATGGGAGAAACAGTGGGAAGGTTGGAAGCAGGGATTTATTCCTGTTTTCAGGTGGAAAGTTGTATGTGACATATGCCGGGAATGGTTACCACTACACCAAGGCTCTGCACAGGAAATACTAATATTAATGATTGATGGCATGGGTAACCAAATCATAGATTGCAGTCTCCTTGTCCATAAATTGTTTTCAAGGTAAGGACACAAATATTTTGTAAGTTGGGTGAACTTTTTAAAATAGGGCTGGAAGAAAATCGTGCTTGCTCTCCAGGAGGTTTGGCCACCTCTGATCTATGTTTCCCAAGTGCTGAGTATTTGAAAATGTTCTTGTTATAACAATACATTTTTCAAAATCACCTAACGTTCAAGAAAAATCTAACGAATATCAATATTCAGGTGGTTTATGATTACTAGTTGAAGATCCTTGCCTTCATCTTACTCTACACAGTCCCCCTACCATCTCTTCATCTTACTCTACAGTCCATCTACAACATCTTTCATCTTACTCTAAAACAGTCCCTACCATCTCTCATTTACTCTAAAGTCCCTCTACCTCTTCATCTTACTCTACACAGTCCCCCTACCATCTTATCTTACTCTACACAGTCCCTCGTACCATCTCTTCATCTTACTCTACACAGTCCCCTACCATTCTTCATCTTACTCTACACAGTCCCTCTACCATCTCTTCATCTTACTCTACACAGTCCCTCTACCATCTCTTCATCTTACTCTACACAGTCCCCCTACCATCTCTTCATCTTACTCTACACAGTCCCCCTACCATCTCTTCATCTTACTCTACACAGTCCCCCTACACATTCTTCATCTTACTCTACACAGTCCCTCTACCATCTCTTCATCTTACTCTACAAGTCCCCTACCATTTACTCTACCGTCCCTACATCCTTCATCTTACTCTACACAGTCCCCCTACCATCTCTTCATCTTACTCTACACAGTCCCTACTTCTCATCTTACTCTCAATCTTAACTCTACACAGTCCCTCCGTTACACCATCTCTTCATCTTACTCTACACAGTCCTACCTCCTTCAGTCTACACCACCTATCTCTTCATCTTACTCTACACAGTCCCCTCCAGTCTACACCATCTCTTCATCTTACTCTACACAGTCCCCTCCAGTCTACACCATCATCTTCATCTTACTCTACACAGTCCCCTCCAGTCTACACCATCTCTTCATCTTACTCTACACAGTCCCCTCCAGTCTACACCATCTCTTCATCTTACTCTACACAGTCCCCTCCAGTCTACACCATCTCTTCATCTTACTCTACACAGTCCCCTCCAGTCTACACCATCTCTTCATCTTACTCTACACAGTCCCCTCCAGTCTACACCATCTCTTCATCTTACTCTACACAGTCCCCTCCAGTCTACACCTATCTTCATCTATACTCTACACAGTCCCCTCCAGTCTACACCATCTCTTCATCTTACTCTACACAGTCCCCTCCAGTCTACACCATCTCTTCATCTTACTCTACACAGTCCCCTCCAGTCTACACCATCTCTTCATCTTACTCTACACAGTCCCCTCCAGTCTACACCATCTCTTCATCTTACTCTACACAGTCCCCTCCAGTCTACACCATCTCTTCATCTTACTCTACACAGTCCCCTCCAGTCTACACCATCTCTTCATCTTACTCTACACAGTCCCCCCAGTCACTACACCATCTCTTCATCTTACTCTACACAGTCCCCCAGTCTACACCATTCTTCATCTTACTCTACAGTCCCCCAGTCTACACCATCTCTTCATCTTACTCTACACAGTCCCTCCAGTCTACACCATCTCTTCATCTTACTCTACAACAGTCCCCTCCAGTCTACACCATCTCTTCATCTTACTCTACACAGTCCCCTCCAGTCTACACCATCTCTTCTATCTTACTCTACACAGTCCCCTCCAGTCTACACCATCTCTTCATCTTACTCTACACAGTCCCCCCAGTCTACACCAAGTCTTCATCTACTCTACACCGTCCCTCAGTCTACACCATCTCTTCATCTTACTCTACACAGTCCGCTCCAGTCTACACCATCTCTTCATCTTACTCTACACAGTCCCCCAGTCTACACCATCTCTTCATCTTACTCTACACAGTCCCCTCCAGTCTACACCATCTCTTCATATTACTCTACACAGTCCCCTCCAGTCTACACCAGCTCTTCATCTTACTCTACACAGTCTCCTCCAGTCTACACCATCTCTTCATCTTACTCTGCACAGTCCCCTCCAGTCTACACCATCTCTTCATCTTACTCTACACAGTCCCCCCAGTCTACACCATCTCTTCATCTTACTCTACACAGTCCGCTCCAGTCTACACCATCTCTTCATCTTACTCTACACAGTCCCCTCCAGTCTACACCATCTCTTCATCTTACTCTACACAGTCCCCCTAGTCTACACCATCTCTTCATCTTACTCTACACAGTCCCTTCCAGTCTACACCATCTCTTCATCTTACTCTACACAGTCCCCTCCAGTCTACACCATCTCCTCATCTTACTCTGCACAGTCCGCTCCAGTCTACACCATATCTTCATCTTACTCTACACAGTCCCCTCCAGTCTACACCATCTCTTCATCTTACTCTACACAGTCCCCCTAGTCTACACCATCTCTTCATCTTACTCTACACAGTCCCTTCCAGTCTACACCATCTCTTCATCTTACTCTACACAGTCCCCTCCAGTCTACACCATCTCTTCATCTTACTCTACACAGTCCCCTCCAGTCTACACCATCTCTTCATCTTACTCTACACAGTCCCCCTACCATCTCTTCATCTTACTCTACACAGTCCCTCTACCATATCTTCATCTTACTCTACACAGTCCCCCTACCATCTCTTCATCTTACTCTACACAGTCCCTCTACCATCTCTTCATCTTACTCTACACAGTCCCCCTACCATCTCTTCATCTTACTCTACACAGTCCCTCTACCATCTCTTCATCTTACTCTATACAGTCCCTCTACCATCTCTTCATCTTACTTTACACAGTCCCTCTACCATCTCTCCAGTCTACACCATCTCTTCATCTTACTCTACACAGTCCCTCTACCATCTCTCCAGTCTACACCATCTCTGCCTAGCACGTCCACAATACTAAAATGTCAACATTTATATTTGAGGCCTGGAGCATTCAATATCCAATGCTTATTTGTATGACTTATTCAAAACTGTCCATGAATGGCTGCAAAAATACATAGCCTCATATTATCCATTTTCAAAAACACAAGGCATATCAGATTACACTGGCAAAATTGAGAAGTGGAATAATAAAATAAGTTTGGGGAATAACAGCAGTGTTCTTGCTGACAAGCACAGTAATTACCCTATATATTTAGCCATTGTTAAGAATGAGAATTGTTCAACTGATCAGACTAAATAAAGTAAATATATAATAAAATCTCCTGAAGACAGAATTACATAAATCTGCCCCTACACCCTAACCAAATTATTGTAATATTTATTGTCCCTCCTCTAGAATCAAACGTACACTTTTGGGTTCACAATATGTTTGTCAAAATGATTTTCATAGTTACAAATCAGGTCACCCTACTAAACTTCCCTGCTAAAACATACTGTAGGACTGTCTGCTGGCTTTTAGTTGTCACAGCCTAAATGCCAATCACCAATCGAGGGGACCAACGCAAGTGTAGATTAAATCGACTTCAGTACATGCTGTCAAAAGGTTGCATTCTGCAATAGGAAGTAAAAGCAACCTAATTTTGTTGACAACATTGTATATAAAACAGCCCTACCATGCTGCTCTTTTTACAGTTTTATAGTCTCAGCTGAGAACATTTTCACTCTCCATTCAGCTCCATTCTCCTAATCTTGAGGGGCGTTTCTTTAAAACGTGCATCCAATTCCCTTGATCCCTTACATAAATAGACCAATCATATGCTTCAATGTGCCGTGGTTCACAGTGCTGTGGTAAAACAGGACAATGATAGAGGTTCTGCTTGTGATGTTAAGTTGCAGGCACAGATGCTACGATTTCTATTCAAAACGATTTGGAGCACAGTTGAGAAGTTAACACACTGACTATACAATGGACTAATTAGAAAAATAAATACAGTACTTTTCACAGCATGAGATATAAGAGGTGTGTCGTGTGAGCGTGACAAGAGGGTCAAATACGTGTGTCTCACGGCCAATGCGTGAGAGTTGGCAGCTCTGAGATTGTCTTCTATTTTGAATAAAAAATGTATGTTTGGTTAAATCTATTTTGGTGAAAACTTGGCAGGGATGGATATTGTTGTGTATATTCCTCTGTTGACTCAGATTAGCATTTAGCATCAGTCAGACAGTGAGTACTGTAGCAACAGCCTATGATAGTTAAAATATAAGGAATTTCAGTAGACACTGTCTCTGTCACTGTGTTCTGTCTCAGTCCAGAAACAAGAAGGGCCCTAGCCTGATGACCACTGTGGCCATGCCTGTGTTCAGCACCAAGAACGAGACGGTAAGTGTGTTGTCACGAACGTTGAGAGACGGGTCAGACCAAGGTCCAGCGTGAAAAGCGTACATGTTTATTAACTAAATAAACATTCAACAAAACAAGAAACAACGTAACGTGAAGTCCAAAAGGCTATACACATACCAGCCTAACAGAAACAAGATCCCACAATACACAGTAGGCAATGGGCTACCTAAGTATGATCCCCAATCAGAGACAACGAGCGACAGCTGTCTCTGATTGGGAATCACACCCGGCCAAACCTAGAAACACAACCTAGCACTGCAACATAGAAATAGACTAACTAGATCATAAACATAGAATATATAACATAGAAACTCACGCCCTGACCAAACCAACTAAAGACAACAGGCCTCTCAAGGCCAGGGCGTGACAGTAACCCCCCCCCCCAAAGGTGCGTACTCCGGCCGCACCAACCTGACTCATTAGGGGAGGGTCCGGGTGAGCATTCAGCCTCGGAGGCGGATCCGGCTCCGAGGCTGACGACCTCTCCCTCTCTGCCTCCCCGTTGCGCCCCTGGTCTGGTCTGGACCTCGGCGCGATGCTTCCCCTCTCCTTCCTCCCACGATGCACCAAGCCCTGTCTGGACCCTGGTGTGGGAGACCCCGAACCTGGAGAGGGGCTGATGTCTGGGCCTGGATCGGCAATCCTCCCACGATGCACCAAGCCCTGTCTGGACCCTGGTGTGGGAGGCCCAGACCCTGGAGAGGGGCTGACTTCTGGGTCTGGAGTGGAGCCGCTGACCGGAGCTGAACTGGACCCCGGTGGAGCGGACTGCTCTGGCTCCGGAGTGGATCCGCTGACCGGAGCTGAACTGGACACCGGTGGAGCAGACTGCTCTGGCTCCGGAGTGGAACCGCTGACCGGAGCTGGACAGGGCACCGGTGGAGCGGACTGCTCTGGCTCCGGAGTGGAGCCGCTGACCGGAGCTGAACTGGACCCCGGTGGAGCGGACTGCTCTGGCTCCGGAGTGGATCCGCTGACCGGAGCTGAACTGGACCCCGGTGGAGCGGACTGCTCTGGCTCCGGAGTGGAACCGCTGACCGGAGCTGGACAGGGCACCGGTGGAGCGGACTGCTCTGGCTCCGGAGTGGAGCCGCTGACCGGAGCTGTACTGGACCCCGGTGGAGCGGACTGCTCTGACTCCGGAGTGGCGCCGCTGACCGGAGCTGAACTGGACCCCGGTGGAGCGGACTCCTCTGACTCCGGAATGGAGCTGCTGACCAGAGCTGGACTGGGCACCGGTGGAGCGGACTGCTCTGACTCCGGAATGGAATCGCCGACTGGAGCTGGACTGGGCACCAGTGGAGCGGACTACTCTGGCTCCGGAGTGGAGCAGCTGACCGGCGCTGGGCTGTACCCCGGTGGAGCGTACCGCTCCGGAGCAAACTTCCGGACCCGTATCCATCCCCATCTCTAAAGCAGGACTAAACGCCGTGCCCAGCCTGGGCACCGACGCAGAGGAAAATTCCAGCCCTGTAGTAGGACTGGTTGCCGGCCCCAGACTGGGCACCGACACGTTTAGGAGCTCCTGCTCCAAAACGGGGCTGTACGTTGTGCCCACACTGGGCACCGACGCAGAGGTGGTTTCCAACCCTGTAGTTGGGCTGGTTGCCGGCCCCAGACTGGGCACCGACACGCTAAAGTGCTCCCTGCAGGGGACCGTCACTGGAGGTCGGGTGAGTTGTGTGGTTGGATGAGGTGTAGAAACGCCACCTCTCTCCCATCGCTCCAATGTACTCAGCACGCACTCCATTTTGCTGCCGAGAGCCTGGATCCTGCTCGCCTGCCGTTGGATACGTTCCTCCCAAGATCCGGACGGACCAACTGTACCTGCTGGCTCCATTTTAGGTGCGTGTTTCTGTCCTGGAACGGGCTGTGCTGGACTGGGAACACGCACCACTGGGTTGGTGCGAGGAGCAGGCACGGGCCGTGCTGGACTGGGAACACACACCACTGGATTGGTGCGAGAAGCAGCCACGGGCCATGCTGGACTGGGAACACGCACCACTGGATTGGTGCGAGAAGCAGGCACGGGCCGTGCCGGACTGGGAACACGCACCACTGGCTTGGTGCAAGAAGCAGGCACGGGCCGTGCCGGACTGGGAACACGCACCACTGGCTTGGTGCGAGAAGCAGGCACGGGCCGTGCCGGACTGGGAACACGCACCACTGGCTTGGTGCGAGAAGCAGGCACGGGGCGTACCGGGCTGGGAACTGGCGTTGGAGATGTACGACTGATCCAGTCCTTCTCTCTCTGCGCCCAATCCTCCTCCAGTGAGGACTCCTCCGGGAGCCCCCACGAGTTAGGGAACAGAACCTCATCGTCGTCGTCATCCTCCGACTCCTCAGTGTAAAACTGTTCCCATTCCTGTTCCCATGGTCGTAGGGACTCCAACTGGAACCCCACCGGGTGCAGTGGTCGGGGCTCTTCTCTCTCGATCCCCGACCACCCCTCTAGCCCCCCCCAAAATTGTTTTATTGGGGTTGCTTCTCGGGCTTCCTCAGCGGTTGGTCCCGTTGGCGTTGTCGTTGATCCTCTCTTGCCAGGGCCTGTACCTTCGCCCAGGGTCCTTTCCCAGCGAATATCTCCTCCCATGACCACCATTCGCCCACCTTTGACAAAGCTATTCGCTCTGCCTCGGCACGCTGCTTGGTCCTTTTGTGGTGGGATCTTCTGTCACGAACGTTGAGAGACGGGTCGGACCAAGGTGCAGCGTGAAAAGCGTACATGTTTATTAACTAAATAAACATTCAACAAAACAAGAAACAACGTAACGTGAAGTCCAAAGGGCTATACACATACCAGCCTAACAGGAACAAGATCCCACAATACACAGTAGGCAATGGGCTACTTAAGTATGAACCCCAATCAGAGACAACGAGCAACAGCTGTCTCTGATTGGGAATCACACCCGGCCAAACCTAGAAACACAACCTAGCACTGCAACATAGAAATAGACTAACTAGATCATAAACATAGAATATATAACATAGAAACTCACGCCCTGACCAAACCAACTTAAAACAACAGGCCTCTCAAGGCCAGGGCATGACATGTGTGTGTCTTTGTGTCTGTGTCTGTCTGTCTGTCTGTCAGTCTGTATTTTTCTTTCTTTCTGTCCATCTGATTGTCTGTGTAATGCTCATTGAGTCTGTCTCTCTCTGTCATTGAGTCTGTCTCTCTCTGTCATTGAGTCTGTCTCTCTTTGTCATTGAGTCTGTCTCTCTCTGTCATTGAGTCTTGTCTGTTTCTCCTCTCTCCTTACAGAAGAACCAGGGTATTCTCCTAGGGGTAGTGGGCACAGACATTCCCCTACAGGAACTCATGAAGATAATCCCTAAACACCTGGTACAGTGTCTAATAACCCAAAGTTATGATGCATTGTCATTTACTGTTCTCCTACACTCTACTTCATGTAATCAAGTATCGCTATATTATTTGTGTGCCTTCAGCTGGGTATCCACGGTTACGCATTTGCCATCACAAACAACGGCTACATCCTGACCCATCCAGACCTGAGGCCACTGGTAACGCACTCCTAAACACACTTGCACTATGTCCCCTAACTTTAACCGTAACCTTTCCACAACAATGCATTAACCCTAACCTACACCTTGGACTATATAGAAAGCAGGAGAGTGGTTAATTGAATAGTTAATAGATATAATGCCGCCAATTAATATGTGTGTTTTGAAAAACAGAACCAGTTTGAGTGAGTGCTACCGAGCAAGTTGGGAGGCTCAATCTGTAATCCTCACCTTTATCTTTGATGTATGCATGCAGGGAGGGATACAGGCCATTGATACTACTGTAGGGCTGGCTGGCCCTGGCTAACTGAACTAACAGTAACCCTGAGGTAACTCTCCTGTCCTGTAACTGTCCTGTACCATAGACACTCAACTGTAACTGTAGACTAGGCCATAGACACTGCTTGGGTTCCCACTGGAAACCTGTTCTAGTGGATCTGTGTCACGTTAGTGCTCCTGTGTGTGTCTCTGTGTCTTAGACATTACATTTAAGTCATTTAGCAGACGCTCTTATCCAGAGCGACTTACAGGAGCAATTAGGGTTAAGTGCCTTGCTTAAGGGCACATCGACAGATTTTTCACCTAGTCGGCTCGGGGATTAGAACCAGCGACCTTTCGGTTACTGGCACAACGCTCTTACCCACTAAGCTACCTGCCTGTGACCGTGGGAGTGTATTCTGAGCTTGAACCAGACTCTAATGGACTGGGTCATTTGTGTTGGAGAATGGACTGGATGTTTTTATGTTATTGGTTGTTGATTGAACTGATCAATTTGGCATTATTGGAGTGGGGAGTTCTAACCTGATGGAACCAGCCTGATGGCAAAATAGCTCAACATTCTGTTTGAACGGTCAACATTCTGTGCAGCGGTCAGTCTGTCAGTCTGCTTGACCAGGCTAGGAGTGTTCTGGTTTTGAGCAAGACAGTGTGAGCGAGGCCTTATAAAAGGTTCACTCTGAAATATGCTGTTTACACAAAACATCCACAGTGCAACCTAAATCTGAAACAGTTTCAATCAAATGTGTGTTCCTATGTGCCTCAGTATGAGGAGGGCCAGAAGAGGAGGAAACCCAACTACAGCAGTGTGGACCTATCTGAGGTGGAGTGGGAGGACAAGGATGACTTTGTACGTCTAAACCCTGACATAACAAACACTATACACACATCTGATTCCTAATACAGACAGACTGATTTAATTTGAAATAATAATACTATTGATGGGATTCAGTCCAAGGCGTGTTATATAGCAGCGCACTGGACAGCCAACAAGGTGCCTTTTAAAGGCAATGTCCCGGACATTCGTGGAGATCACATTCATGGTAAATGCTGCGGATGTCTGCTCAAGCGTAAATTGCGTTTGAAAGGCGCATTGTCGGCTGTCAAGTATGTTGCTCTGTAACACGCCTCTGATTGAATCCCGGACATGAACTGATCGAACTGAACAAATATAACACCTCCTGGTGTCTAATAATGATGACACCAAAACTGCACAGACTCCTTACAGCTGGTTTTTCTGTTTCAGCTGCGTAATGCCATGGTCAACAGGAAGACTGGGACGTTCTCCATGGAGGTGAAGAAGACAGTGGACAAAGGGGTGAGACGGGAGGAGGAGGATGACTCTTACAGTTACAGTATATCAAAGAGTCTGGACTGTAATGAAATCAATGGATGAGTCCTCATGCTTCCTGCTTTCCTCTGTGCTTTCAGAAACGTCTCCTGAAGATGCACAATGACTACTACTACACTGAAGTCAAAGGAACTCCCTTCAGGTGAGGGGAGATGTTTCCTATTTATCTTGATACATTCTCTAATGTTTCATGTGTGTCTCTGTGAATGTAAATGTTGACCATATCTGACAGTCCGTCACTATGCTGGGTTCAGGTGAGTGGAGATGTCATTTATCTTCAGCAGAGGAGAGTAGGGTGCACTACGCTTCTTTAGCTTTTCAGTACATTTATTGATTTATCCATTTATCTTGATCAATTCTCTTGATGTTCTTCTGTGAGTTGACATGATGGGCTGGTTCAGTGAGTGGGTTAGCGACATGTGTCTCTTTGAGTGTAACTCTTGACTATCTCTAAGATTCACCCTACTGTGTGTGTGTGTCTGTGTCTGTGTCTGTTTGTGTGTCTGTCTGTGTGTGTGTGTGTGTGTGTGTGTGTGTGTGTGTGTGTGTGTGTGTGTGTGTGTGTGTGTGTGTGTGTGTGTGTGTGTCTGTATGGGTGTTTGTGTGCGTGTTTATATTATTTCTGTGTTCAGTGTCGGTGTGGCTTTGTCCAGAGGCCATGGCAAATTCTTCTTCAGGGGAAACGTCTCCGTAGAAGCAGGTAAGGGTCAATCTACTCTTGTCATTCACTCTCCCACTCCTTCCCTCCTACACTCACTCAACCATCCATGAGAGCGTCATCAGTTTCACATATAAGTCTGTGTATTCTGTACCTGTGGTCTGCCTTTTCTTAAGGCCTTAAATCAGTCCACTGAGCCTGGCCCCACTGATCTGATGTTCATGTGTTTTTCAGGGCTTCATGACCTGGAACAGCCAGATGTTGCACTGGCAGACGAATGGTAATGCAGGGGGTTATGGGTAATGTAGAGGGTTATAGGCTTGAGCTTGGTCAGTCAAGCATTATATACAGTGGGTATCATAAGTATTCACCCCCCTTTTCTTCACATTTTATTGTGTTACAAAGTGGGATGAAAATTGATTTAATTGTCATTTATGTGTCAACGATCAACACATAATTCGCTGTAAATGGAAGAAAAAGTATAACTTTTAAAAATATAAATGAAAAATAAAACACTGATATACCTTGATTTGATAACTATTCACCCCCCTGAGTCAATGCATGTTAGAAATACCTTTGGCAGAGATTACAGTTGTGAGTCTTCTTGGGTAAGTCTCTAAGAGCTTTACACACATGGATTGTGCAATATTTGCCCATTTCTTTCAAAATTCTTCAAGCTCTGTCAAGGTGATGGTGATCATAGCTAGACAGCAATTTTCAAGTCTTGACATAGATTTTCAGGCAGATTTCAGTCAAAAATGTAACTCGGCCACTTAGGAACATTCACTGTCTTCTTGGTAAGCAACTCCAGTGTAGATTTGGCCTGCTGTTACAGGTTATTGTCCTGCTGAAAGGTGAATTTCTCTCCCAGTGTCTGGTGTAAAGCAGACTGAAGCAGATTTTCCTCTAGGATTTTGCCTGTGCTTAGTTCCACCCTGTTTATTTTTATCCTGAAAAACTCCCCAGTCTTTGTCAATGTCAAGCATGCCCATACCATGATGCAGCCACCACCATGCTCGACATTTAGGCCAAAAACTGTATTCCTTTGCCGTGTTTTTTTAATCCAGTATTACTTTAGTGCCTTGTTGCATGCAGGATGAATGTTTTGGAATATTTGTATTCTTCTTTTCACTCTGTCATTTAGGTCATTATTGTGGAGTCACTAAAATGTTGTTGATCCAGGCTCAGTTTTCTCCCATCACAGCCATTGAGACATTGTTTTAAAATCCCCAATGGCCTCATAGTGACATCCTTAAGCAGTTTCCTTCCTGCCCTGCAGCTCAGTTCAGTTCAGAAGAACTACTCGATGTGTGTCTGGGGGTTTTAATACATCATCCACAGGCTCAGCATAATTCTTAACTTGACCATGCATTAAATGTCTGATTTGTTATTGTTACCCATCTACCAATCACTGCCCTTCATTATGAGGCTTTTGAAAAGCTCCCTGGTCTTTGTAGTTGAATCTGTGCTTGAAATTCAATACTTGACTGAGGGACCTTACAGATGTTGTATGTATGGGAGACAGAGGAAGGGGTAGTCATTCTGAAATCATGTCAACCCCTATTATTTCAGACAGTGAGTCCATGTACCTTATTATGTGATTTGTTAAGTCAAATTGTACTCCTGAACTAATTTAGGCTTGCCTAAACAAAGGGAGTGTATATATGTATATACAGTGGGGAGAACAAGTATTTAATACACTGCCGATTTTGCAGGTTTTCCTACTTACAAAGCATGTAGAGGCCATGTATTGCGAGATCTTGGCCAACAACCTCCTTCCCTCAGTAAGAGCATTGAAGATGGGTTGTGGCTGGGTCTTCCAGCATGACAACGACCCGAAACACACAGCCAGGGCAACTAAGGAGTGGCTCCGTAAGAAGCATCTCAAGGTCCTGGAGTGGCCTAGCCAGTCTCCAGACCTGAACCCAATAGAAAATCTTTGGAGGGAGCTGAAAGTCTGTATTGTCCAGCGACAGCCCCGAAACCTGAAGGATCTGGAGAAGGTCTGTATGGAGGAGTGGGCCAAAATCCCTGCTGCAGTGTGTGCAAACCTGGTCAAGACCTACAGGAAACGTATGATCTCTCTAATTACAAACAAAGGTTTCTGTACCAAATATTAAGTTCTGCTTTTCTGATGTATCAAATACTTATGTCATGCAATAAAATGCAAATTAATTACTTAAAAATCATACAATGTGATTTTCTGGATTTTTGTTTTAGATTCCGTCTCTCACAGTTGAAGTGTACCTATGATAAAAATTACAGACCTCTACATGCTTTGTAAGTAGGAAAACCTGCAAAATCGGCAGTGTATCAAATACTTGTTCTCCCCACTGTATGTATATGTAATATATATAAATATGTAATATATATATATATGTAATATATATGAATATGTAATATATATGTATATGTAATATATGAATATGCGATGACTATATTTTCGTTATTACATTTGTTTTTTCATTTGTAAAAATGTGTCGAATTTTCTTTTCACTTTAACATTATGGTGTATTTCCGGAGATCAATGACAAAAATTAAATACGCTACCAGTCAAAAGTTTGGGGACACCTACTCATTCAAGGGTTTTTCTTTATTTTTCTAATTTTTACATTGTATAATGATAGTGAAGACGTCAAAACCATGAAATAACACATTTGGGATCATGCAGTAACCAAACATTTTTTAAACAAATCTAAATATATTTTATATTTGAGATTCTTCAACTAGCCACCCTTTGCCTTGATGACAGCTTTGCACACGCTAGGCATTCTCTCAACCAGCTTCATGAGGTAGTCAACTGGAATGCATTTCAATTAACAGGTGTGCCTCCTTAAAAGTTAATTTGTGGAATTTCTTTCCTTCTTAATGTGTTTTAGCCAATCAGTTGTGTTATGACAAGGTAGGGGGGGGGGGGGGGGGGGGGTATACAGAAGATAGCCCTATTTGGTAAAAGACCAAGTCCATATTATGGCAAGAACAGCTCAAATATGCAAAGAGAAACGACAGTCCATCATTACTTTAAGACAGTCAATACGAAACATTTCAATAAAAGTTTCTTCAAGTGCAGTTGCAAAAACCATCAAGCGCTATGATGAAACTGGCTCTCATGAGGACCGCCACAGGAATGGAAGACCCAGAGTTACCTCTGCTGCAGAGGATAAGTTCATTAGAGTTACCAGCCTCAGAAATTGCAGCCCAAATAAATGCTTCACAGAGTTCAAGTCACAGACACATCTCAACATCAACTGTTCAGACGGGACTGTGTGAATCAGGTCTACATGGTCGAATTGCTGCAAAGGACCCCAATAATAAGAAGAGACCTGCTTGGGCCAAGAAACACGAGCATTGGACATTAGACCGGTGGAAATGTGTCTTTTGGTCTGGAGTCCAAATTTGAGATTTTTGGTTCCAACCGCCGTGTCTTTGTGAGATGCGGTGTGGGTGAACGGATGATCTCTGCATGTGTATTTCCCACCGTAAAGCATGGAGGGGGAAGTGTTATGTTGTGGGGGTGCTTTGCTGGTGACACTGTCTGTGATTTATGTAGAATTAAAGGCACGCTTAACCAGCATGGCTACCACAGCATTCTGCAGTGATACGCCATCCCATCTGGTTTGGGCTTAGTGGGACAATCACTTCTTTTTCAACAGGACAATGACCCAACACACCTCCAGGCTGTGTAAGGGCTATTTTACCAAGAAGGAGAGCGATGGAGTGCTGCATCAGATGACCTGGCCTCCACAATCCCCCGACCTCCATCCAATTGAGATGGTTTGGGATGAGTCGGACCGCAGATTGAAGGACAAGCAGCCAACAAGTGCTCAGCATATGTGGGAACTTCTTCAAGACTGTTGGAAAAGCATTCCAGGTGAAGCTGGTTGAGAGAATGCCAAGAGTGTGCAAAGCTGTCATCAAGGCAAAGGTGGCTACTTTGAAGAATCTCAAATATAAAATATATTTTGATTTGTTTAACACTTTTTTGCTTACTACATGATTCCATATGCATTATTTTATAGTTTTGATGTCTTCACTATTATTCTACAATGTTGAAAATAGTAAAAATAAAGAAAACCCTTGAATAAGTAGATGTGTCCAAACTCTTGACTGGTACTGTATATTTCAATCCCACTTTGTAATGTAACAAAATGTGAAATAATCTAAGGGGGGTGAATACTTATGATACCCACTTTAGGTTACTGCTCCCTGTAAGTCTCAGTAGCCATGTGGCATAACAGTATGTGTGTCTGTTATGTTATGTTATGGCCGAAACGTTGGTTATTTTCATTAAATGGTTGGGAGTATTTAGACAGTGTTTTCGTTCTGTCGGGGTCAGCACCTCACCATCTTTTTGGGGTGTGTTTCTACCTATTCATTTGACAGGACGTACTGCAACACAGACGAGCACCATGAGCACCGTTCTCTCTCCCAGATCCAGGCTATTAAACTCTACCTGACCGGACGCAAACCACTCATCAAATGTGAGTCACACCTCACTTGGATCTATGGGCCTACTAACTATAACCCTATAACCTTAACCCAAGCCTCAGCCTTAACCCTATAACCCCACATTTACATTTACATTTTAGTCATTTAGCAGACGCTCTTATCCAGAGCGACTTACAGTTAGTGCATTCACATCGTAAGATAACTAGGTGGGACAACCACAATTCTAACCCTATAACCCTAGCCTTAACCCTAACCCTATAACCATATTCCCCTAACCCTATAACCCTAACCCTATACCTTAACCCTAACCCTATACCCTAACCCTAACCCTATACCCCTAACCTTATAACCCTATAACCCTAACCCTATACCCCTAACCCTATAACCTTAACCCTAGCCTCAGCCTTAACCCTATCCCTCAGCCTTAACCCTAACCATACAGTGAGGGAAAAAAGTATTTGATCCCCTGCTGATTTTGTACGTTTTCCCACTGACAAAAACATGCGTTTTTCTGGATTTTGTTGTTGTTATTCTGTCTCTCACTGTTCAAATCAACCTACCATTAAAATTATAGACTGATACTTTCTTTGTCAGTGGGCAAACGTACAAAATCAGCAGGGGATCAAATACTTTTTTCCCTCACTGTATAACCCAACCCTATAATATGCCATTTAGCAGACACTTTTATCCAAAGCGACTTACAGTCATGTGCGCATACATTTTTACATATGGGTGGTCCCGGGGATCAAACCCACTACCCTGGCGTTACAAGCGCCATGCTCTACCAATTGAGCTACAGAGGACCACTATAACTCTAACCCTCAGCCTTAACCCTAACCCTATACCCTGTCTGTAGAGGACTTGGTCGTGTGTTTCCTGGACTGAATATCCCATCTGCTTCAGAGGACAGGAAGTTAATTATTATGATGTGGTTAGTCAAAATAGAATGTAATGTTATCTAGTCATGATTGATAGAGGGTGATGACTCTGTCCTGTCTGTATAGTTTCCTGTAGTGAACCTGAACAAGTCCTCTCTGCTGCAGGTGACAGGGAGCTGATCCAGGAGGTTTTGTTTGATGCTGTGGTCACAGCCCCACTGGAGGCCTACTGGACAGGCCTGGCCCTCAACAAGTCAGAGTGAGTCTAACTGATTAACTCCTAAACTGAACTAACTCCTTCTCAACTAACTTTGTCACTGCCCTGCCCCTGTTGTATTACCACAGGTATGTAACAGAGTGTCTCTATGCTGTCATCGCCAGCATACAGTCCTCTATACTCTGTGATATCATGACAATTATGCTGATTATCTCCCCTTATTATATTCTTACTGTACACTTGTTTGCTTCCATCATGTCTACAGGAATTCAGATAAAGGTGTGGAGATTGCTTACCTGGGCACACGCACTGGCCTCTCTAGAACCAACCTGTTTGTTGTCACAGAGGACCTATCCAATCAGTGAGTACTATACTGAGCATCTGATGAATAAGTCAAATTATCACTGAGACAAAGCACTGCAGCAGTAACTTTGACTTGAAGTTTCAGCAGTGACTTGTAGTTTGACTTGTAGTTTCAGCAGTGGCTTGTAGTTTCAGCAGTGGCTTGTAGTTTCAGCAGTGACTTGTAGTTTGTGGTAGTTTGACTTGTGGTTTCAGCAGTTACTTGTAGTTTCATCAATGACTTGTAGTTTGTGGCTGTTTGACTTGTAGTTTCAGTAGTGACATGAAGTTTGTGGTAGTTGGACTTGTAGTTTCAGTAGTGACTTGTAGTTTCAGCAGTGGCTTGTAGTTTGACTTGTAGTTTCAGCAGTGACTTGTAGTTTCTGGTAGTTTGACTTTTAGTTTCAGCAGTGACTTGTAGTTTCAGCAGTGACTTGTAGTTTCTCTTCTGACTCCTTCATGTCTTCCTGTGTGCCATTAGAGACTTCCTGACAGCGGAGGATAAGGAGGGGGTGTTTAACGCTGACCACTTCCCTCTGTGGTATAAGAGATCAGCAGAGCAGGTCCCCGGCACCTTTGTCTACTCCATCCCCTTTGGAGGTATGGAGACACTGACACTAAATGACCTTTACTACATCCAGAAATCCCACACCAGCTAAATACACCTTTACTCGACCTCAAAGTTCAACAAACGTTTTTATACGGCTTCATCCATCGCTTGCCCTGTGTATCCATTGTGTGGTTGTTGTTGCCTTTAAAATACTATTTTGTGTATTGTGTAATTTTTTTAAAGTTTACTTTTTAATCCATTAAATCTGTAGCTCAGTTGGTAGAGCATGGCGCTTGCAACGCAAGGGTTGTGGGTTCGTTTCCCACGGGGGGCCAGTATGAAAAATGTATGCACTCACTAATTGTAAGTCGCTCTGGATAAGAGCGCCTGCTAAATGACTAAAATGTAAAAAAATGTAATCAATCTTCAGTGTCTCTGATATACGGTAGCTCACTCTCCCAACACTGTAATGTAACACCGTCTGTAGTGCATTCTCCCACTCAATAGTTCAATATAGTTTACCTTGTTGTATGCATTTCTGTTGAGATTCTGTGTGTCTCTGATAGGTTTATCATGGAGACTGTGTATCTGTGTCTCTGATAGGGTGTACTGTAGAGCTCACATCCCTAACTGCTGTGTGTAATTAATGTGCCCCACTTTCTCCCCACTGAAAGGAAGAGAGGAGAGGTATATTCAGATCAGGATCATACTGTTCCCTGTTGTCTACCTGCTCTACCTGTTTTTATCCCCTGGGTCTAGGCTGTAGTTCAATACTATTCTCTCTCCTCTCTCTCTCTCTCTCTCTCTCTCTCTCTCTCTCTCTCCTCTCTCTCTCTCTCTCTCTCTCTCTCTCCTCTCTCTCTCTCTCTCTCTCTCTCCTCTCTCTCTCTCTCTCTCTCTCTCTCTCTCTCTCCTCTCTCTCTCTCTCTCTCTCTCTCTCCCCCTCTCAAGGGGCTTTGTACTGCTATTACCTGAGCTGTTTTATCACAGAACGGATCACTCTCTCGCTGTCAGAATCATTTCAAACATCCTGGCTGAGCTCCACCGATGTCATTCTACTGTATAACCGTACAGAGTGGAGTAGTGGGTTGCTCCTGTGTTAGAGCCTGCTGTTTGAAAGCTGTGTGTATGGCGCCATCTTCAGGCTAGATAAGGTGTATCACTCATATTTCTGTGATTTGTTCCAGGGTTGCTATACACTGAGTGTACAAAACATTAGGAACACCTCCTCTTTACATGACATAGACTGACCAGGTGAATCCAGGTGAAAGCTATGATCCCTTATTGATGTCACTTGTTACATCCACTTCAATCAGTGTAGATAAAGGGGAGGAGACAGGTTAAGAAGGATGTTTAAGCCTTGAGCCAATACGCTAGACAAGGTGGGATATTTTTGTTGGTCAAAGTAATTATATGAGAAATGTCGGTGGAAACGCTTTTATGCGAAAATATTGATATAATAACCATCATATTGAAGAAAACCTGGAGTCACGCTATTACATGTTGTGTGGTCCTCCCACTACAACTAGTCCGGAAAGCATGCAGTTTATTAGGCTACAGATTAAATAAATTATGATGAACTTCACAGGGTGGTGAAAGTACATGGTGATGAACTTGATGCTCATTTCCAATAAATATCGAGGGTCTTATTCTGGTGACATGGTCATCGATGCATGGTCATCGATGCTTAGCTGCCGTTTGACAAATACAAATAATATTGATATTTTTGTCTATAATCTCACCATGTAGGTTATACATGCGCTGAGCGCACGTGCCAATACCAGAGTGGGCACATTTGTTTTGTGAGAAAACCATCCGTAGAGTTGAAACGACGATGGAAACCCCTTTAACTTGTATTTTTTATTCGGTACATGGAAATTTAACCGCAAAAGGTATTTTTATCTGCAACGAGTCAATTTGATAATAACAAAAATAATAATATCTTCCTGAATCATTATAATGAGATTTGTTTGAGTGAATACAATTGCACTAGAATTGTCATATATATATATATTTTTCTATATACAATATATATATATATATATATATATATATATATATATATATACAGTGGGGGAAAAAAGTATTTAGTCAGCCACCAATTGTGCAAGTTCTTCCACTTAAAAAGATGAGAGAGGCCTGTAATTTTCATCATAGGTACACGTCAACTATGACAGACAAATTGAGAAAGAAAAATCCAGAAAATCACATTGTAGGATTTTTTATGAATTTATTTGCAAATTATGGTGGAAAATAAGTATTTGGTCACCTACAAACAAGCAAGATTTCTGGCTCTCACAGACCTGTAACTTCTTCTTTAAGAGGCTCCTCTGTCCTCCACTCGTTACCTGTATTAATGGCACCTGTTTGAACTTGTTACCCTATAGAAAATCTTTGGAGGGAGTTGAAAGTCCGTGTTGCCCAGCGACACCCACAAAACATCACTGCTCTAGAGGAGATCTGCATGGAGGAATGGGCCAAAATACCAGCAACAGTGTGTGAAAACCTTGTGAAGACTTACAGAAAACGTTTGACCTGTGTCATTGCCAACAAAGGGTATACAACAAAGTATTGAGAAACTGTTGTTATTGACCAAATACTTATTTTCCACCATAATTTGCAAATAAATTCATTAAAAATCCTACAATGTGATTTTCTTGAATTTTTTTTCTCATTTTGTCTGTCATAGTTGACGTGTACCTATGATGAAAATTACAGGCCTCTCTCATCTTTTTAAGTGGGAGAACTTGCACAATTGGTGGCTGACTAAATGCTTTTTTTCCCCACTGTATATATATATACTGTATATATATATTTACATTTACATCATTTAGCAGACGGTCTTATCCAGAGCAACTTACAAAATATATATATATATATATATATTGTATGTATTTAGTATTTTCTTGTTTATACCTGTGTTCTGTTTTGTTAGACATGTTTGATGTAGGGATGGAAGTTATTGATAATTTTGTATAATGAATAAAACATTTTTTCACGAAAGGTCAATTTGATGGAAACATCTCTGGTGGGAAAATGTGCATATTGTTTTCATGCGTTTTTTAGAATATTCGCATAAAAATCTGTTGCCAATTGGATGGAACCTAGCTACTGACAAATAATTTTTGGTCAATTTTTATGGATTTTTTTATGTTAAATGTCTGATAATGTCTGTGCTCTTCTGTGTTCCTGTTTCTCCCCAGGAAATGAGAATAAGAGTGTGGTTTTGGCCAGCACTGCCATACAGCTGCTGGATGACAGGAAGTCACCCATTGTTGCATGTAAATTCACTCATCCCTAATTTAGAGTAATATAAGGTTTTCCTGTCATAAACTTTTAACTGTAATATTTTCAATATAAATGCCCATTGAAGACATTTGAAGAAACCCCTTTATCAGAATCAGAATCACCTTTATTCGCCAAGTACATTTACATGTAACAGGAATTAGACCTGGTGAAATAGTGCTGACCACAATAAACAGAATGTACAGACAGAATATATAGACAAAGAATTGACACATCATTCACATAAATGCTTACTTCCTCTACTAGATGTACAGTGTGCTGACTGTGTTCTGTTTGTATTTTCTCAAATCCACTATAGCCGTTGGGATTCAAATGAAGCTGGATTTCTTTCAAAGGAAGTTCTGGACCGCTAGCAGACAGGTAGACACACACACACACACACACACACACACACACACACACACACACACACACACACACACACACACACACACACACACACACACACACACACACACACCTGAATTCACTCATTCAAACTCCAGTGCTGTGAGACATGATGTATTGATTATTGAATTAAATAATTCATCATATTGATTTGATACAGTGTGCTGCTCTGGATGGGAAGTGCACCATCAGCTGTGATAATGAGGTAAGAACAGAACAGTCCCTGTCTGAAACTCCCCTCATTCAACTTACTGTTTCTGGGCTTCTCTCTTCCTGTCTCAACTTTCCCACTTCCTGTCTGTACTGTCTCTGACCTTTCTCTGTTCCCACTCACTATTGAATTGCTACATTATGTCCTGTGCTGATGATTTGTATCTTCCTATTGTCTCTATTCTTAGGACATCAAGTGTTACCTCATAGACAACAACGGCTTTATTCTGGTCACAGAAGACTACTCTCAGGTACCACTTACATACATAAGACACGTATGTTTGTCCTGTGTCCTGTAGCTCCCCTAGGTCCTAGTATTTGCCTTTAAATAAACCATATTTTCTTCCTCAGACAGGGAAGTTCTTTGGCGAGGTGGAGGCTGCTGTTATGAACAAGCTGCTCCTCATTGGCTCCTTCAAAAGGTTAGAGAAGCAATAATATTACAATCATCATACCCACAATGTCACTCTGTCATACACAGTCGAAGACACACCGCCATGGCCTACACACATTGGTGCGCATACATACACACACTAATGTCCTGTTGTCTCCTCTCTGTAGGATCAATCTGCATGACTACCAGGCTCTCTGTAGAGAGTATGCTGGCAGCAGTGATAGTGGACACTGTTTATCACATGTAAGTTCCGCCCCTAAATGATTCACCAGCCTTACGTCCAGTCAATGTTAAATCCACTTAACGCAAATTATTTAATTTCTTCTCTTCCAGCCCTTCTCCATTGTGAAATGGCTCCTGACCGAACTAGTCATGTGAGAATAATACTATCACCTTGATATAATAAAATGATTGATAAAGTTCCACTGATTATCAACCACGTACAGTGGGGAGAACAAGTATTTGATACACTGCCGATTTTGCAGGTTTTCCTACTTACAAAGCATGTAGAGGTCTGTAATTTTTATCATAGGTACACTTCAACTGTGAGAGACGGAATCTAAAACAAAAATCCAGAAAATCACATTGTATGATTTTTAAGTAATTCATTTGTATTTTATTGCATGACATAAGTATTTGATACATCAGAAAAGCAGAACTTAATATTTGGTACAGAAACCTTTGTTTGCAATTACAGAGATCATACGTTTCCTGTAGGTCTTGACCAGGTGTGCACACATTGCAGCAGGGATTTTGGCCCACTCCTCCATACAGACCTTCTCCAGATCCTTCAGGTTTCGGGGCTGTCGCTGGGCAATACGGACTTTCAGCTCCCTCCAAAGATTTTCTATTGGGTTCAGGTCTGGAGACTGGCTAGGCCACTCCAGGACCTTGAGATGCTTCTTACGGAGCCACTCCTTAGTTGCCCTGGCTGTGTGTTTCGGGTCGTTGTCATGCTGGAAGACCCAGCCACGACCCATCTTCAATGCTCTTACTGAGGGAAGGAGGTTGTTGGCCAAGATCTCGCGATACATGGCCCCATCCATCCTCCCCTCAATACGGTGCAGTCGTCCTGTCCCCTTTGCAGAAAAGTATCCCCAAAGAATGATGTTTCCACCTCCATGCTTCACGGTTGGGATGGTGTTCTTGGGGTTGTACTCATCCTTCTTCTTCCTCCAAACACGGCGAGTGGAGTTTAGACCAAAAAGCTCTATTTTTGTCTCATCAGACCACATGACCTTCTCCCATTCCTCCTCTGGATCATCCAGATGGTCATTGGCAAACTTCAGACGGGCCTGGACATGCGCTGGCTTGAGCAGGGGGACCTTGCGTGCGCTGCAGGATTTTAATCCATGACGGCGTAGTGTGTTACTAATGGTTTTCTTTGAGACTGTGGTCCCAGCTCTCTTCAGGTCATTGACCAGGTCCTGCCGTGTAGTTCTGGGCTGATCCCTCACCTTCCTCATGATCATTGATGCCCCACGAGGTGAGATCTTGCATGGAGCCCCAGACCGAGGGTGATTGACCGTCATCTTGAACTTCTTCCATTTTCTAATAATTGCGCCAACAGTTGTTGCCTTCTCACCAAGCTGCTTGCCTATTGTCCTGTAGCCCATCCCAGCCTTGTGCAGGTCTACAATTTTATCCCTGATGTCCTTACACAGCTCTCTGGTCTTGGCCATTGTGGAGAGGTTGGAGTCTGTTTGATTGAGTGTGTGGACAGGTGTCTTTTATACAGGTAACGAGTTCAAACAGGTGCAGTTAATACAGGTAATGAGTGGAGAACAGGAGGGCTTCTTAAAGAAAAACTAACAGGTCTGTGAGAGCCGGAATTCTTACTGGTTGGTAGGTGATCAAATACTTATGTCATGCAATAAAATGCAAATTAATTACTTAAAAATCATACAATGTGATTTTCTGGATTTTTGTTTTAGATTCCGTCTCTCATAGTTGAAGTGTACCTATGATAACAATTACAGACCTCTACATGCTTTGTAAATAGGAAAACCTGCAAAATTGGCAGAGTATCAAATACTTGTTCTCCCCACTGTATAAATGTTTTATTATATAAATGTATATTTTGAATGTGTATGTTTGTGTCTTCCTCTTCAGTTTCCTGCTGGAGTTCAACCTGTACAGCTGGTGGCATGTTGACCTCTCTGTCAAAGGTCAGTATGTGCATGATAATAAACTGGGTGGTTCGAACCATGAATGCTGATTGGCTGACAGCCGTAGTATATCAGACTGTATACCACGTGTATGACAAAACATTTATGTTTACTGCTCTAATGACGTTGGAAACCAGTATAAAATAGCAATAAGGCACCTCGAGGCTCAGAATAAATTAGAGGAAAAACAAAAAGAAATGGAGAAACTTATTCAAGAAAGATCAAGTGTAATATATTATAAAAATAAAGCAAACTGGATGGAATATGGGGAAAAATGAACCAAATTATTTTTTTATCTTCAACATAGGAATGCTACCAAAAAGAATTTAATGAAACTGGTTAGAATTGACGGAGTAACCCATGATTCACCAAATTATATTTTGAAGGAGGAAACAAAGTACTTTAAGCATATGTTTTCGTTTCAGTCGCCTCCATCTCCTCTATCTGAAGCTAATTGTAGAGAGCTTTTTTCTATTGATAATATAAAATTAACATCCATACAGAAAGACTAATGTGAAGGTGAAATTACAGAGGAGGAACTTCTGAATGCAATTAAAGACTTTAAGCCCGGGAAAACACGGACTTTCAACTCCCTCCAAAGATTTTCTATGGGGTTGAGATCTGGAGACTGGCTAGGCCACTCCAGGACCTTGAAATGCTTCTTACGAAGCCACTCCTTCGTTGCCCGGGCGGTGTGTTTGGGATCATTGTCATGCTGAAAGACCCAGCCACGTTTCATCTTCAATGCCCTTGCTGATGGAAGGAGGTTTTCACTCAAAATCTCACGATACATGGCCCCATTCATTCTTTCCTTTACACGGATCAGTTGTCCTGGTCCCTTTGCAGAAAAACAGCCCCAAAGCATGATGTTTCCACCCCCATGCTTCACAGTAGGTATGGTGTTCTTTGGATGCAACTCAGCATTCTTTGTCCTCCAAACACGACGAGTTGAGTTTTTACCAAAAAGTTCTATTTTGGTTTCATCTGACCATATGACATTCTCCCAATCCTCTTCTGGATCATCCAAATGCACTCTAGCAAACTTCAGACGGGCCTGGACATGTACTGGCTTAAGCAGGGGGACACGTCTGCCACTGCAGGATTTGAGTCCCTGGCGGCGTAGTGTGTTACTGATGGTAGGCTTTGTTACTTTGGTCCCAGCTCTCTGCAGGTCATTCACTAGGTCCCCCCGTGTGGTTCTGGGATTTTTGCTCACCGTTCTTGTGATCATTTTGACCCCACGGGGTGAGATCTTGCGTGGAGCCCCAGATCGAGGGAGATTATCAGTGGTCTTGTATGTCTTCTATTTCCTAATAATTGCTCCCACAGTTGATTTCTTCAAACCAAGCTGCTTACCTATTGCAGATTCAGTCTTCCCAGCCTGGTGCAGGTCTACCATTTTGTTTCTTGTGTCCTTTGACAGCTCTTTGGTCTTGGCCATAGTGGAGTTTGGAGTGTGACTGTTTGAGGTTGTGGACAGGTGTATTTTATACTGATAACAAGTTCAAACAGGTGCCATTAATACAGGTAACGAGTGGAGGACAGAGGAGCCTCTTAAAGAAGAAGTTACAGGTCTGTGAGAGCCAGAAATCTTGTTTGTTTGTAGGTGACCAAATACTTATTTTCCACCATAATTTGCAAATAAAATCATTAAAAATCCTACAATGTGATTTTCTGGATTTTTTTTTCTCAATTTGTCTGTCATAGTTGATGTGTACCTATGATGAAAATTACAGGCCTCTCTCATCTTTTTAAGTGGGAGAATTTGCACAATTGGTGGCTGACTAAATACTTTTTTTCCCCACTGTACTAAGAGGTCCGTTATTAGCATGTTTTAACCACTCCTATGTAAATGGTAGATTATCTGACACTCAAGAAGAAGGTCTGATCTCATTATTACTGAAACAGGATACAAGTGGAAAATATAAAGATCCAGTCCATTAATAAAATTGGAGGCCCCTTACACTTCAGTGTTGTGATGCAAAAATTCTAGCAAAATGTATAGCGCATAGAATTAAAAAGGTATTGTCGGATATTATTCATTCTAATCAGACAGGTTTTTTACATGGAAGATACATTGGAGATAATATAAGGCAAGTATTGGAAACAATAGAACACTATGGGAAATCTGAGAAACCAGGCCTGCTATTCATAGCAGACTTTGAAAAGGCATTTGATAAAGTACGACTGCGGTTTATATATAAATGCCTCGAGCATTTCAATTTTGGTGAATCTCTTATAAAATGGGTCAAAATCATGTATAGTAACCCTAGGTGTAAAATAGTAAATAATGGCTATTTCTCAGAAAGTTTTAAACTGTGAAGAGGAGTGAAACAAGGTTGTCCACTATCTATTTATTGTGGCCATCGAGATGTTACCTATTAAAATCAGATCCAACAATAATATCAGGGGATTAGAAATCCAGGGCTTAAAAACAAAGGTGTCATTGTACGCTGATGATTCATGTTTTCTTTTAAATCCACAACTAGAATCACTCCACAGCCTCATAGAGGATCTAGATACATTTTCTAACCTCTCTGGATTACAACCAAATTATGACAAATGTACTATATTACGTATTGGATCAATAAAAAATACAATTTTTACATTACCATGTAGTTTACCAATAAAATGGTCTGATGGTGATGTGGATATACTCGGAATACATATCCCAAAGGAAATAAATGATCTCACTTCAATAAATTATAATAGAAAGTTAGCAAAAATAGATAAGATCTTGCTACCATGGAAAGGTAAATACCTGATTAAAAATCACCCTGATTAACTCTTTAGTATTATCCCAGTTTACCTATTTACTTATGGTCTTGCCTACGCCTAGCGAACAGTTTTTTAAATTATATGAGAAAAAAATATTCAATTTTATTTGGAACGGCAAGCCAGACAAAATTAAACAGGCCTATTTATATAATGAATATGAATTCGGAGGACAGAAATTATTAAATATTAAAGCATTAGACCTATCACTAAAAGCTTCAGTCATACAAAAGTTATACTTAAATCCGAACTGGTTCTCTAGCAAATTAGTAAGATTGTCTCACCCAATGTTCAAGAATGGCCTTTTTCCCTTTATTCAGATTACAACAACTAATTTGCAGTTATTTGAAAAGGAAATAATCTCCCAAATATCACTATTTCTAAAACAAGCCATAGAAAGTTGGTTGCAATTTCAATTTAATCCTCCAGAAACGACAGAACAAATAATGCAACAAATATTGTGGTTAAACTCAAATATACTAATTGACAAAAAACCTATTTTTTTTGACGAAATGTTTAAAAAAGGTATAATCTTTGTAAATGATATCATCGGTAGGAATGGTGGAGTTATGTCGACACATGCAGCTAACAAAAACATATGGAAATGTCTGCTCTACCCAAAATTATAACCAAATAATTGCAGCCTTACCGCAAAAATGGTAGAGGAAAGTGGAAGGGGGAGAAAGTAAGGAGCTTGTCTGTCGGCCTTGCATTAAAGAACATAATTGGTTAAGGAAAACTGTGATAAATAAAAAAGTATATCAGTTTCATTTAAGGACCAAAGGATTGACAGCCGTCCCATTATGATTGCAAAATAGTTGGGAAGAGATTTTTGACGTACCGATCCCATGGAATAGTGTTTATGAACTGATACGCAAAACGACACCGGATTCAAAACTTAGAATCTTTCAGTTTACATTATTATATAACATTCTTGCTACCAATAGAATGTTATTGATATGGGGGATACAATCTTCCCAGCTCTGCAGATTTAGCTGCGAAGAGACAGAATCATTAGATCATTTGTTATGTAACTGTCCATTTGTAGCTTGTTTTTGGACACATGTCCAAGAATGGCTAAAGGATTGCAATATTTACCTTGCGCTAACCCTGCAGATAGCACTACTGGGTGATCTGAAAAGTCATAGTTAATCGATCAATAACATAATAATACTATTAGCAAAAATGTTTATTTTCAATTCACAATCTGTAGAAACAATGAGAATAGAAAGGTTCAAAACTTTTGTAAGACATCACAGTACAGTTGAAATATATATGGCAAATAGAAATCCTATATGGATGGTGTTAAAAGATAGATGGGAGGTGTTGAATGGAATTGAAGGATGGGACTAATAACAACTAACAACAAACAATAACAAGATAACTAATAATGTAGGCACGCTGTGTCCATAATAAGTGTATAGGTTGTAGGTTGGGAGCTTTTGTGAAGGAGCACAGTTAGAAAGATATGGCATATAGAAGCAAACCGGATGGACATCATGAAAATGATCGGAGAGGTTGAGAGTAGAAGAAGTTCTGGAGAAAGAACAAACAAAATGTAATTATTGTAAAATTGACTGTGTCCATAAAATGTAGATAGTAAGTATAAGCTGGATGTAGAGGCCAAGCATTGTTGTTCACTAGTTTACTCCAAGTAGGGAAAGGGTGGCGGGGTTGGAAAGTAATAAAGGGGAATATATATATGTTTTTTTTAAAGGATATGTATGTGTATGTATGTATGTACAGTGAGGGAAAAAAGTATTTGATCCCCTGCTGATTTTGTAAGTTTGCCCACTGACAAAGAAATTATCAGTCTATAATTTTAATGGTAGGTTTATTTGAACAGTGAGAGACAGAATAACAACAACAAAATCCAGAAAAACGCATGTCAAAAATGTTATACATTTATTTGCATTTTAATGAGGGAAATAAGTATTTGACCCCCTCTCATTCAGAAAGATTTCTGGCTCCCAGGTGTGTTTTATACAGGTAATGAGCTGTATAAAGGGAGTGCTCCTAATCTCAGCTTGTTACCTGTATAAAAGACACCTGTCCACAGAAGCAATCAATCAATCAGATTCCAAACTCTCCACCATGGCCAAGACCAAAGAGCTCTCCAAGGATGTCAGGGACAAGATTGTCGACCTACACAAGGCTGGAATGGGCTACAAGACCATCGCCAAGCAGCTTGGTGAGAAGGTGACAACAGTTGGTGCGATTATTCGCAAATGGAAGAAACACAAAATAACTGTCAATCTCCCTTGGCCTGGAGCTCCATGCAAGATCTCACCTCGTGGAGTTGCAATGATCATGAGAACGGTGAGGAATCAGCCCAGAACTACACGGGAGGATCTTGTCAATGATCTCAAGGCAGCTGGGACCATAGTCACCAAGAAAACAATTGGTAACACACTATGCCGTTAAGGACTGAAATCCCCTGCTCAAGAAAGCACATATACATGCTCGTCTGAAGTTTGCCAATGAATATCTGAATGATTCAGAGGAGAACTGGGTGAAAGTGTTGTGGTCAGATGAGACCAAAATTGAGCTCTTTGGCATCAACTCAACTCGCCGTATTTGGAGGAGGAGGAATGCTGCCTATGACCCCAAGAACACCATCCCCACCGTCAAACATGGAGGTAGAAACATTATGCTTTGGGGGTGTTTTTCTGCTAAGGGGACAGGACAACTTCACCGCATCAAAGGGACGATGGACGGGGCCTTGTACCGTCAAATCTTGGGTGAGAACCTCCTTCCCTCAGCCAGGGCATTGGAAATGGGTCGTGGATGGGTATTCCAGCATGACAATGTCCCAAAACGTACGGCCAAGGCAACAAAGGAGTGGCTCAAGAAGAAGCACATTAAGGTCCTGGAGTGACCTAGCCAGTCTCCAGACCTCAATCCCATAGAAAATCTGTGGAGGGAGCTGACGGTTCGAGTTGCCAAACGTCAGCCTCAAAATCTTAATGACTTGGAGAAGATCTGCAAAGAGGAGTGGGACAAAATCCCTCCTGAGATGTGTGCAAACCTGGTGGCCAACTACAAGAAACGTCTGACCTCTGTGATTGCCAACAAGGGTTTTGCCACCAAGTACTAAGTCATGTTTTGCAGAGGGGTCAAAAACATATTTCCCTCATTAAAATGTAAATCAATTTATAACATTTTTGACATGCGTTTTTCTGGATTTTGTTGTTGTTATTCTGTCTCTCACGGTTCAAATAAACCTACCATTAACATTATAGACTGATAATTTCTTTGTCAGTGAGCAAACGTACAAAATCAGCAGGGGATCAAATACTTTTTTCCCTCACTGTATGTGTGTGTGTGTGTGTGTATATATATGTATATATATATATATATATATATATATATATGTATATATATATATATATATACAGTGGGGAGAACAAGTATTTGATACCCTGCCGATTTTGCAGGTTTTCCTACTGCAGCAGGGATTTTGGCCCACTCCTCCATACAGACCTTCTCCAGATCCTTCAGGTTTCGGGGCTGTCGCTGGGCAATACGGACTTTCAGCTCCCTCCAAAGATTTTCTATTGGGTTCAGGTCTGGAGACTGGCTAGGCCACTCCAGGACCTTGAGATGCTTCTTACGGAGCCACTCCTTAGTTGCCCTGGCTGTGTGTTTCAGGTCGTTGTCATGCTGGAAGACCCAGCCACGACCCATCTTCAATGCTCTTACTGAGGGAAGGAGGTTGTTGGCCAAGATCTCGCGATACATGGCCCCATCCATCCTCCCCTCAATACAGTGCAGTCGTCCTGTCCCCTTTGCAGAAAAGCATCCCCAAAGAATGATGTTTCCACCTCCATGCTTCACGGTTGGGATGGTGTTCTTGGGGTTGTACTCATCCTTCTTCTTCCTCCAAACACAGCGAGTGGAGTTTAGACCAAAAAGCTATATTTTTGTCTCATCAGACCACATGACCTTCTCCCATTCCTCCTCTGGATCATCCAGATGGTCATTGGCAAACTTCAGATGGGCCTGGACATGCGCTGGCTTGAGCAGGGGGACCTTGCGTGCGCTGCAGGATTTTAATCCATGACGGCGTAGTGTGTTACTAATGGTTTTCTTTGAGACTGTGGTCCCAGCTCTCTTCAGGTCATTGACCAGGTCCTGCCGTGTAGTTCTGGGCTGATCCCTCACCTTCCTCATGATCATTGATGCCCCACGAGGTGAGATCTTGCATGGAGCCCCAGACCGAGGGTGATTGACCGTCATCTTGAACTTCTTCCATTTTTTAATAATTGCGCCAACAGTTGTTGCCTTCTCACCAAGCTGCTTGCCTATTGTCCTGTAGCCCATCCCAGCCTTGTGCAGGTCTACAATTTTATCCCTGATGTCCTTACACAGCTCTCTGGTCTTGGCCATTGTGGAGAGGTTGGAGTCTGTTTGATTGAATGTGTGGACAGGTGTCTTTTATACAGGTAACGAGTTCAAACAGGTGCAGTTAATACAGGTAATGAGTGGAGAACAGGAGGGCTTCTTAAAGAAAAACTAACAGGTCTGTGAGAGCCGGAATTCTTACTTGTTGGTAGGTGATCAAATACTTATGTCATGCAATAAAATACAAATTAATTACTTAAAAATCATACAATGTGATTTTCTGGATTTTTGTTTTAGATTCCGTCTCTCACAGTTGAAGTGTACCTATGATAAAAATTACAGACCTCTACATGCTTTGTAAGTAGGAAAACCTGCAAAATCGGCAGTGTATCAAATACTTGTTCTCCCCACTGTATATATATATATATAAAAACATGGGGGATTGGAAGTGATGCAGACAATTACATTGATGGAAGTTACAATCTATCTGCAATATTAAGCTGATCTACCCCCCCCAAAAAAAGTATGTGCATGATTATAAACTGGGTGGTCGATCCATGAATGCTGATTGGCTGACAGCCGTGGTATATCAGACTGTATACCACGGGTATGACAAAACATTTATTTTTACTACTCTAATTACGTTGGTAACCAGTATAAAATAGCAATAAGGCACCTCGGGGGTTTGTGGTATATGGCCAACATACCACGGCTAAGGGCTGTATCCAGGCACTCCGTGTTGCGTCGTGCATAAGAACAGCCCTTAGCCGTGGTATATTGGCCATATACCACACCCCCTCGGGCCTTATTGCTTAAATATACCTTGAAGTGTGTGTGCTCACGTGTGTGTGCGCATACATGAATGAGTGTGTGTGTGTGTGTGTGTGTGTGTGTGTGTGTGTGTGTGTGTGTGTGTGTGTGTGTGTGTGTGTGTGTGTGTGTGTGTGTGTGTATGTGTGTGTGTGTGTGTGTGTGTGTGTGAGAGAGTCATGTGTGTTTTTAGTATGTTAACATTTACATGTCTCATTTCTAGCCCAAAGCTCGAGGGGAAAGACCATGATGGTGCCATGTGATACTGAGTACCCTGCCTTCGTCTCTGAGCGTACCATCAAAGAAACCACAGGCAATATTGACTGTGAGGGCTGTGTCAGGTACTGGGAATACAGTTACCTTGGTATTATGCACTGATAAACTCACTTAACCAGTGTGTTGATAGTGTTTACAGGATCATGCGTTAGTGGGATAATATTACAAGCATCAACTGAATCGACTCTTCTCTCTCTCGTTTTTTCTCTCTGTCTCCCTCTCCCTTCCTCCCTCCTTCCCTCCTCAGATCTTTTGTTATTCAGCAGATTCCCAGCAGTAACCTCTTCATGGTTGTCGTAGACAACAAGTGTGACTGTAGCTCCGCCCTTCCAGTTTCCATGGACCCCATTGAGATTATGTATATCCTTGTGAAGTTTGGGAATATTGAGTGTGTTTTTTTGTAAAAAGGTTTTGAGTGTGTTTTTACTAGGAAGGGTTTTTGAGTGAGCTTTTGTAAGTGAACTCAAACGTTTGTTTTCTGAGAATGTGAACCGCTTCTGAGGTACTTCATAGTCAGAGGTATTAATACATTTCTCATACATGTAGGTCATTTTAAAACGTGCATTACGGTTTGTGTTTCTCATCATGCTCGAATTATGTTGCAGAAGCGGTCAGCGCAGTGTCAGTTAAATGCATATCTGAGTATTTCCATCCTTAACCCCTCTGAACACAACGAATCTCTGAAATGTGATAGGCTGAAGTTTCAGAAGGACAGGAAGCGGCCAGAATCATGTCATCCTTTCCACCCTGAGGTATGTAGTATGTATATGCTCTGTGATAACATGAAAATGTACATGAACACCTTTTTTTGGTTGTGTAATAATGTGACAGTAAGCACGTATGTGACCATCTGTATATTGTCTGAACCATATAGATATATAGATACAGAGTGTATGTATTAATTCTAGTATTTCTGTGTTCTGATGCCCCCTGCGTCTGCTGCAGGAGAATGCCATGGAGTGTGGAGGAGCAGCAGGCCTGTCTGCCCCCCTCACAGCAGCACTGCTCCCCCTGCTGGCCACTCTCTTCACCAGATGACCGTACCGCCCCCGAGGCCCAACACACTGGACCCAACACTGGAGAGACTGATAGACCGGCTTTAGCGCACCATCAAATGCTGACAAAGCGCAGGGAGCCTCGCCAACCAGAAGAACTTGCTCATAACTAACTGAGTTGCTTATCGCTGACCAGCAGAGAAATAATGAATAAGAAGGCATTGTTCAAGATAAATAGAACACTATTCTAAGGGGAAAACCATATGGACATTAGACTGAGAAATAAACTATGAGAAAGCACTGTGATGCAATGATGACATCCTGAGAGCATTACAGACCCCAGTGTGGATGCCAGAGCAAAGAAATCAATATCCCTGTGTACTTTACCTGCACTTTAGAAAATAAGAGTTTCTATGTCAAGGTAGTTATGAAAGAACTAGAAAAAATGTCACCTTTAAAAAAGAGTGGTCTATCTATACAATTGAAAATAAACTGCTAAAAACGATAACATAGCAATGCAACTGTAATTGTTTAATTTTTTGAGGTAAATATATGTAGCTTTACCTTGGAGAATCTAATTCTGTCTGTTGGGATATGACAGGGATCATGTAAAATAAGAGATCACAGGATGGTCCATTTAGTTTGCCTGCTTTTCATTTTTACAGCGGTGAACATTTCATACAGAGTAAAAAGATGCATGTGAAGGATTAAAAATAATAATACTTAAGTTCCATGAAAGGAATAAAGTCCAGAGCTCTGGCTGCACACTGAAAATATGAGCATTTGCCTGTTTTAAAAATGTTATTGTTACCTTGACCATAACCCCTAATGCTGACCCCTACCCTTGACCCCAAACCCCCTTCCTTTAAGAAGGCTGCTCAAATCTAAATAAACACAGACCTATTTTCCATCATCTGTCTTTCAGCTATATTTTTTTAACAGTAACTTTTTGTAGTGTATTATATGAGTGTGTTTTCCTCATCGGTTTCTTGCTGGAGTACAGCTGGTGGCATGTTGACCTCTGTCAAAGGTCAGTGTGTGCATGAATATACCTTGAGGTGTGTGTGCGTACGTGCACTTGTGATCGTGTGCATGTGTGTCTCTGTCTGTGTAAGTCATGTATGTTTAAGTACAGTGGGGGAAAAAAGTATTTAGTCAGCCACCAATTGTGCAAGTTCTCCCACTTAAAAAGATGAGAGAGGCCTGTAATTTTCATCATAGGTACACGTCAACTATGACAGACAAAATGAGAAAAGAAAATCCAGAATATCACATTGGAAAATAAGTATTTGGTCAATAACAAAAGTTTCTCAATACTTTGTTATATACCCTTTGTTGGCAATGACACAGGTCAAACGTTTTCTGTAAGTCTTCACAAGGTTTTCACACACTGTTGCTGGTATTTTGGCCCATTCCTCCATGCAGATCTCCTCTAGAGCAGTGATGTTTTGGGGCTGTCACTGGGCAACAAAGACTTTCAACTCCCTCCAAAGATTTTCTATGGGGTTGAGATCTGGAGACTGGCTAGGCCACTCCAGGACCTTGAAATGCTTCTTACGAAGCCACTCCTTCGTTGCCCGGGCGGTGTGTTTGGGATTATTGTCATGCTGAAAGACCCAGCCACGTTTCATCTTCAATGCCCTTGCTGATGGAAGGAGGTTTTCACTCAAAATCTCACGATACATGGCCCCATTCATTCTTTCCTTTACACGGATCAGTCGTCCTGGTCCCTTTGCAGAAAAACAGCCCCAAAGCATGATGTTTCCACCCCCATGCTTCACAGTAGGTATGGTGTTCTTTGGATGCAACTCAGCATTCTTTGTCCTCCAAACACGAAGAGTTGAGTTTTTACCAAAAAGTTATATTTTGGTTTCATCTGACCATATGACATTCTCCCAATCCTCTTCTGGATCATCCAAATGCACTCTAGCAAACTTCAGACGGGCCTGGACATGTACTGGCTTAAGCAGGGGGACACGTCTGGCACTGCAGGATTTGATTCTCTGGCGGCGTAGTGTGTTACTGATGGTAGGCTTTGTTACTTTGGTCCCAGCTCTCTGCAGGTCATTCACTAGGTCCCCCCGTGTGGTTCTGGGATTTTTGCTCACCGTTCTTGTGATCATTTTGACCCCACGGGGTGAGATCTTGCGTGGAGCCCCAGATCGAGGGAGATTATCAGTGGTCTTGTATGTCTTCCATTTCCTAATAATTGCTCCCACAGTTGATTTCTTCAAACCAAGCTGCTTACCTATTGCAGATTCAGTCTTCCCAGCCTGGTGCAGGTCTACAATTTTGTTTCTGGTGTCCTTTGACAGCTCTTTGGTCTTGGCCATAGTGGAGTTTGGAGTGTGACTGTTTGAGGTTGTGGACAGGTGTCTTTTATACTGATAACAAGTTCAAACAGGTGCCATTAATACAGGTAACGAGTGGAGGACAGAGGAGCCTCTTAAAGAAGAAGTTACAGGTCTGTGAGAGCCAGAATCTTGCTTGTTTGTAGGTGACCAAATACTTATTTTCCACCATAATTTGCAAATAAATTCATTAAAAATCCTACAATGTGATTTTCTGGATTTTCTTTCCTCAATTTGTCTGTCATAGTTGACGTGTACCTATGATGAAAATTACAGGCCTCTCTCATCTTTTTAAGTGGGAGAACTTGCACAATTGGTGGCTGACTAAATACTTTTTTTCCCCACTGTAAGTACTCATTTAGATACTGTACCACTTAAGTGCCTTCAGAGATGATTCACACCCGTTGACCTTTTCCACATTTTGTTGTGTTACAGCCTGAATTTAAAATGGATTACATTGAGATCATAAGGGATCATAGCTTCGCCTGGATTCACCTGGTCAGTCTATGTCATGGAAAGAGCAGATGTTCCTAATGTTTTGTACACTCAGTGTAGACTGAAGTTACTTACCAAGACAACATTGAATGTTCCTGAGTGGCCTAGTTACAGTTTTGACTTAAATCAGCATGAAAATCTATGGTAATAATTGAAAATGGCTGTCTAGCAATGATCAACAACCACCTTGACAGAGCTAGAAGAATTTTTAAAATAATATTTGTACAATATTTGCACAATCCAGGTATGCAAAGCTCTTATAGATTTACCCAGAGAGACTCACAGCTGTAATTGCTGCCAAAGGTGATTCTAACATGTATTGTTGACTCAATGGGTTGAATACTTATCTAATCAAGATATTAGTGTTTTATTTTCATTAACATTAGAGTATTTTGTGTAGATTGTTGACCAAAAAAATTACAATTAAATCCATTTAAATCCCACTTTGTAAAACAATTAAATGTGGAATTGGTTAAGGGGAGTGGGTACTTTCTGTAGGCACTGAAAAAAAAAACTATCGAATTTTATTCTAAATCAAATTAAATTAAATAAAAAAACTATTAAGTCACTGTTGTCTGTTAGATAGTAACAGAGTTTCTAAAATATGTATTTGAGGTTAACGCGGTAATTAGAGAGACAAAGTTGCATTTGATTTACATTGGATAAAGATAACATTGATTGATGGTATTGTGTAATATTATTTAGTAGAAAATATTAACTAAATTGTTTAAACGATGATACGATGATAAAATGATACTGACCTTGGGCTTCGATGTATTGAAAGGTATCTAGAAATAACAAAATGAGTCATTATCATGCACATTTAGCCATTTTGAAAAATGAGAACACATGAGACTGGCACACTGTACACAAGTCTCTAAAGTTGAATAGCCTGTAACGAACGTGTCAAACTCATTCCACGGAGGGCCGAGTGTCTGCAGGGTTTTCGCTCCACCCTTGTACTTGATTGATGAATTAAGGTCACTAATTAGTAGGAACTCCCCTCACCTGGTTGTCTAGGTCTTAATTGAAAGGATAAAACAAAAACCCACAGACACTCGGCCCTCCGTGGAATGAGTTTGACACCCCTGCTGTAATGGATTCATGGTCATGTTATTAAGCAGTGGTCATTCTTATCTGAACAAAACGTAAAATACTGAACTAGAAAAATAAATCAATAGGAAGATCAATGGAATAAGACACATGTATTATAGCCATGAGATTCAGAAATATCAAGAGTTCCTAAAGTAAAAGATGATAAGATGGGAGAGAAACCTGTAGCAGAAACAGATCATGTCATTTGGATCAAAGGAATTACTCACATAAAAGGAGGATGACCAAAAACAGATGACCAGCTGCCATATCAGGGATGAACAATGTAATTATACAGAGAGCTACAGACTGCAAGTATGACTTCAGAGGATATAGTGTATGTGACTGAGACAGGGGGGATTGTTTGAATAGAGAAGTAGATGTGGAGCTTGTGCACAGGAAAACCACAGAGAGCAGAAACCAATCCCATACAGCAAGTGTGGGCTAATGTTGCAGAGGACATGGTATCTGAACTATCAGAATAATTTATCAGTCATATACACTGTGCACAAAACATTAAGAACACCTGCTCTTTCCATGACAGACTGACCAGGTGAACAATATGATCCCTTATTGAATTTGAAAATCTGAAAGACTCACTAGTGAAAAACAGGATAGTCTGTGGTATACTTGATAATGGACTCAAGGAGAGATTGCTGCGTGGGCAAGATTTAACTTTGGATAAAGCAGTGTGGATAAAGCATGTGTGGAGCAGCTGAAACCACCAGAGCACAAGCTAAAGAGCTGTGCAGGGATGAGACGTCAGTGCAATAAAAAGAGAGGAACAACACACACAACGCTTTACAAAACAAAAACAAACAAAAGAGAAAAATCTAAACACTACATGTGGAAAATGTGGAGTTATCCAGGAGCCAAAAAATTGCCCTGCATATGGCAAATCGTGTAACAACTGTGGGGGAAATAATAATTTCTCAAAATGCTGCAAAGCTGAGGCTACAAAGAAAAAGGTTCACACAGTCAAAGAGGAGACTGAAGAATTCTTTGTTGATTCTGTGGAAATATGCAATGCAGTAAAAGCTGAATGGATTGTGCCATTTTTTACATTTAACATTTTAGTCATTTAGCAGACGCTCTTATCCAGAGCGACTTACAGTTAGTGCATACATTATTATTTTTTATTTATTTTTTCATACTGGCCCCCCGTGGGAATCGAACCCACAACCCTGGCGTTGCAAACGCCGTGCTCTACCAACTGAGCTACATCCCTGCCGGCC